GATAATTTAGAAATTTTCGATAATTGAAAACTCAAGAGCTGTTTTACAAATTTTTACTCAGATCACTCACAAAACTTCAAAACAATACCAAATTATATTCAAGTCCAAACAAACTCTAATTTTCAAATACCATTTTCACTTGTAAAGTTTTTTTTCACGTTTTTTTTTTTTGGAATTTTTACAATTCTCATGTCCAAACGCCTACAAGTTTTGTGTCACTCCAAAAGACACACAAGCTATTGTGAGGAACAGGGGACACACCTCCTAAAGGTGACATCACTTCAGGGAGTCATTGGCTGCACACCAGGAAGACCAGGTATATATGCTTAACTCGGTGTCATTGGTGGTTGGCCACCAGGAGTTGGTGGCAAATAAGGAGTTGGAGAATTAGCGCTGCATGGAATAAGGAAAATGGCATTATATTCTCCATACAAAGACCCAAAACAACAATGTAACTCTCGTTTTGACTCTTGTACAGGGAAACTTTTGGTTACCACATGCGGAACCATTGTCCCTTGGGGTCCCAGCATCACTGTAATTATCGCTAGGAGTGTTAGTCCTACAGAACCAGGAACCAGCATCACTGGACTGGATGGCTGAAAAATGAAAGGAAACATCACAATCACATTGAAAGAGAACTCTCCATTTATACAGAAATGAAGAGGAAAGAGTGGAAACCTGATATTGCAGACTTTACCCCCAAGAACCAGGGTTTCCGTCTTCCCAATTGTCCCTAGTATTTTGCCATTGCAACCAGTTAATATCAAGAAAATGGAACTCCAACTCACTAATTCTAAGACAGTAAGAGGAACAAATGGAAATCGCAAGACTGTAATCTTAAAGGAGAGCATACCACCTAAAGTGTAACCGCGAACACAAAAGAAGACCAAAAACCTGCACTTCATTGTATAAATGCACAACGCCTTTCAAGTACAAGACCATAATTTTAATCTGATCCATATCCATCTTATACACGAGAAAAGAACTTTCAGCTATACAAAGATGAGAATTTCACACATGAATGCATACTGACAGATCCATTTCCATGACTTAAACCATACATGAGACACGAATGTCGCGTTGTATGCGAAGACATAGCCCTTTCTCATTTCTTCAAGGATTATATCAATTAGTTTAGGTCAAATAAGAACTAGGCAGGATATATGGCCCGCACTTCTTCTATTTTCAAGAAGCTAAGCCATTTGGCTTATTTTCTCCAATGACACAACATATCCACCTCATTGGATTCCATGCTCTGTGAGCGTCCTCATGCCATCACGGATAGGTGTTGCTACAGAAGAAAATGACCAAAAAACCAAAAGTCATACATGGGTTGAATATGTATTACATATATATAAATCCTAATATTTTACCTATATACACAGTATTATTTTTCGACGAAGGGTGGTCAGTTGACCACCCTTGCTACCATGTACCTTCGCCCCTGCCCGCAACAAGAAATAAAGTCTACTATATAAGGCTCTAGTTGTAAAAAAGTAAATCAAAGCAAGTCCAACTGAAAACAACATAACTAAAGAATGGCAAGTCATATTGAAAATAAAAGTCTAAGGCGAAATAACAGAATGGCACGCAAATATTAGCCAAAAAAAAATGAATCACCAAAGGCAAGAATGATAGAACCTGGATTAACGCCGAGGATGCCAATAAGCTGCCGAATAGAGGTGAAGGCCTGTGGGAGGGTTGCCGATACCAATAAAGCCCGCTGGATTGGGCCTGCCGGTACCAATAAAAACCACCGGTAGTACACACCGGAGAGACTGTCGGAATGCTGCTTAACCCACGCCCGCAGAAGAGAGAAAAGAGAAAAAAAAAAAAGAAGAAGAAAAGAGAGACGGAGAATGAAGACTTGCCGGAATCCGACCAGAAAAGCGTGAGAGAAGCAAGAGCAGAAGAAAGGAATCGAGAGGGGAGAGGGTTCATCAAGAGGAAGGAGGAGGAAGAAGGAGCTAAATCACATCTAATGAACTTATCATTTGCATTAAAGGTCATTCCACTCAGGCTCATCTCAGCTTAAAGCTACAAGTAGTAAAGAAGCAACCGTTCGGACTTCTTTGCATTCCCCACATAGTGATTTTGATTAATTCTATAGTAATTTTGACATTAATAACCAACAAAAACCATTGAGAACGTGAAAAAACTGAACTCATAAAGCTAAAAGACAAAATTTGAATTTCAATCTATTACTGAAACACACACTATAATTACCAACAAAAATATGAAGGGAATAATTACACGCTAAAAGCCTAAAACATTTAATGAAAATGCATGAACATGAAATACAAGCCCACTAGTTCATCACTTTGCAAAGCAGAAACAAGAAATGTTTGCCTTTCGCTAGAATACAAGAGAATAGTGGTAAAATATCAAAATTCTGCAGCGATCACAAGTTCACTGGCTTAACAAAGTAAAATGTTTCTCATTTAAACTTTCAGCAACATATATTAAGAGCCCATTTGGACATAAGAATTGTTTCAACTTTTTTCGGAAAATTTTCACTTTTTTTCGAAATCCGTGTTTGGCCATAAAATTTCCAATTTTCACTTGAAGCTAAATTTTGAAATTTTTCGATAATTTGAAAAACTCCAAAAGGCTGTTTTTCAAAATTTTTACTCAGATCACTCACAAAACTTCAAAAGAAATCCAAAATTATATTCATGTCCAAACAAAACTCTAATTTTCAAATACCATTTTCACTTGAAATTTTTTTTTCACTTTTTTTTTTTTGGAATTTTACAATTCTCATGTCCAAACGCCTACTAAGTTTTGTGTCACTCCAAAAGACACACAAGCTATTGTGAGGAACAGGGGACACACCTCCTAAAGGTGACATCACTTCAGGGAGTCATTGGCTGCACACCAGGAAGACCAGGTATATATGCTTAACTCGGTGTCATTGGTGGTTGGCCACCAGGAGTTGGTGGCAAATAAGGAGTTGGAGAATTAGCGCTGCATGGAATAAGGAAAATGGCATTATATTCTCCATACAAAGACCCAAAACAACAATGTAACTCTCGTTTTGACTCTTGTACAGGGAAACTTTTGGTTACCACATGCGGAACCATTGTCCCTTGGGGTCCCAGCATCACTGTAATTATCGCTAGGAGTGTTAGTCCTACAGAACCAGGAACCAGCATCACTGGACTGGATGGCTGAAAAATGAAAGGAAACATCACAATCACATTGAAAGAGAACTCTCCATTTATACAGAAATGAAGAGGAAAGAGTGGAAACCTGATATTGCAGACTTTACCCCCAAGAACCAGGGTTTCCGTCTTCCCAATTGTCCCTAGTATTTTGCCATTGCAACCAGTTAATATCAAGAAAATGGAACTCCAACTCACTAATTCTAAGACAGTAAGAGGAACAAATGGAAATCGCAAGACTGTAATCTTAAAGGAGAGCATACCACCTAAAGTGTAACCGCGAACACAAAAGAAGACCAAAAACCTGCACTTCATTGTATAAATGCACAACGCCTTTCAAGTACAAGACCATAATTTTAATCTGATCCATATCCATCTTATACACGAGAAAAGAACTTTCAGCTATACAAAGATGAGAATTTCACACATGAATGCATACTGACAGATCCATTTCCATGACTTAAACCATACATGAGACACGAATGTCGCGTTGTATGCGAAGACATAGCCCTTTCTCATTTCTTCAAGGATTATATCAATTAGTTTAGGTCAAATAAGAACTAGGCAGGATATATGGCCCGCACTTCTTCTATTTTCAAGAAGCTAAGCCATTTGGCTTATTTTCTCCAATGACACAACATATCCACCTCATTGGATTCCATGCTCTGTGAGCGTCCTCATGCCATCACGGATAGGTGTTGCTACAGAAGAAAATGACCAAAAAACCAAAAGTCATACATGGGTTGAATATGTATTACATATATATAAATCCTAATATTTTACCTATATACACAGTATTATTTTTCGACGAAGGGTGGTCAGTTGACCACCCTTGCTACCATGTACCTTCGCCCCTGCCCGCAACAAGAAATAAAGTCTACTATATAAGGCTCTAGTTGTAAAAAAGTAAATCAAAGCAAGTCCAACTGAAAACAACATAACTAAAGAATGGCAAGTCATATTGAAAATAAAAGTCTAAGGCGAAATAACAGAATGGCACGCAAATATTAGCCAAAAAAAAATGAATCACCAAAGGCAAGAATGATAGAACCTGGATTAACGCCGAGGATGCCAATAAGCTGCCGAATAGAGGTGAAGGCCTGTGGGAGGGTTGCCGATACCAATAAAGCCCGCTGGATTGGGCCTGCCGGTACCAATAAAAACCACCGGTAGTACACACCGGAGAGACTGTCGGAATGCTGCTTAACCCACGCCCGCAGAAGAGAGAAAAGAGAAAAAAAAAAAAGAAGAAGAAAAGAGAGACGGAGAATGAAGACTTGCCGGAATCCGACCAGAAAAGCGTGAGAGAAGCAAGAGCAGAAGAAAGGAATCGAGAGGGGAGAGGGTTCATCAAGAGGAAGGAGGAGGAAGAAGGAGCTAAATCACATCTAATGAACTTATCATTTGCATTAAAGGTCATTCCACTCAGGCTCATCTCAGCTTAAAGCTACAAGTAGTAAAGAAGCAACCGTTCGGACTTCTTTGCATTCCCCACATAGTGATTTTGATTAATTCTATAGTAATTTTGACATTAATAACCAACAAAAACCATTGAGAACGTGAAAAAACTGAACTCATAAAGCTAAAAGACAAAATTTGAATTTCAATCTATTACTGAAACACACACTATAATTACCAACAAAAATATGAAGGGAATAATTACACGCTAAAAGCCTAAAACATTTAATGAAAATGCATGAACATGAAATACAAGCCCACTAGTTCATCACTTTGCAAAGCAGAAACAAGAAATGTTTGCCTTTCGCTAGAATACAAGAGAATAGTGGTAAAATATCAAAATTCTGCAGCGATCACAAGTTCACTGGCTTAACAAAGTAAAATGTTTCTCATTTAAACTTTCAGCAACATATATTAAGAGCCCATTTGGACATAAGAATTGTTTCAACTTTTTTCGGAAATTGGATTTTCTTTTGAAGTTTTGTGAGTGATCTGAGTTAAAATTTTGAAAAACAGCCTTTTGGAGGTTTTCAAATTATCGAAAAATTTCAAATTTTAGCTTCAAGTGAAAATTGGAAATTTTATTGGCCAAACACGGATTTCGAAAAAAAGTGAAAATTTTCCGAA